AAATTCTGTCATCATTTACTCACCCTCAAGTAGTTTCAAACCTGTATGAATGTCTTTGTTCTGCAGAACACAAAGGAAGATATTCTGAAGAATGTGGGAAACAGAGCAGTTCTGGGGCACCATTGACTTCCATAGTATTTTTTTCTCCTACTATGGAAGACAATGGTGCCCCAAAACAGCCTGGTTACAAACTTTCTTCAAAATATCTCCATTTCTGTTCGGCAGAACAAAGAAATTTATACGGGTTTGGAACTACTTGAGGGTGAGTAAATGATGACAGAATTTTCATTTTTGGGTGAACTATCGCTTTAAGTGTAAATTTTTCGAAATTAGGATTTATATATCATCTGAAAGCTGAATAAATAAGCCTTCCATTGATGTGTGGTTTGTTAGGATAGGACAATATTTGGTCGAGATGCAACTATTTGAAAATCTTGAATCTGAGGGTGCAAAAAAATCTAAATATTGGACAATCCTTTAAAGTTGTCCAAATGAAGTTCTTAGCAATGCATATTACTAATCAAAACTGAAGTTTTGAATTATTTACAGTAGGAAATTTACAAAATATCTTCATGGAACTTGATCTTTAATTAATATCCTAATTATTTTTGATCATTTTGATCCATATAATGTATTTTTGGCTATTGCTACAATTATACCCGTGCAACTTAAGACTGGTTTTGTGGTCCATGGTCACATATTAGAATATGCCAGTTACTTGTGTTGGTAAGAATTCATTCAAACATTAATGGTCCCAGTACTTTCTACTCTGGCCAACACTTTATGAAATTTGTGACTGGCATGTTTAATGCAAACATCTCCAATTCTTGAAACAGGTGTTTTTGTATCATTAGAGTTTGCAATACATAGATATGTATAGATTCCCCATTCGACCGCTCCAGGCACGTAGATGCGGCCGCCATCTTGGAACGGTCAACATGACGTCATTCACCATACTGTAGGTTCACACAGAGCCGTTCTGTGCAGGATTGTGGCATCTTTCGAATATTCAGTGATTGCCATGAAGGAGGTCAAGTTGACCATTACAATATGGCGGACGGCTTACGTTTGGCGGCCCATAGAAACAGTCGCTAATGAGGCAACTACTTATACATATCTATGTTGCGATTATAGTTCTACAGTTTATTCTCATATAAACTTTAATATTATTTAAAATTGTTGCAGTTGGTATCATTTGATATCATTATCTGACAACAGGTCAGTTCCTTCTGTCTGTCTGTCTAACTATCTATCTATCTATCATTATCTATTATCATGTCAAATCAATTAAGTTCATTTGAACACTTTTTTTACAACATAGAAGATGCACAGTGTACTGTTTAAAAGTTTTTTAAATGCGTATTTGACATTTCTGATCATAATGTTGTTGACATTTTAGCTTTGATTGGGAAGTGATCAATATATAGATTTTTTTATCAAAGCAGTTAAAGCTTCTTGAGAAGTCTTTTCCATTTAATGATGTCTTCAGTTGAAGCTGATGAATTTTGTGCTGCTTTTCTCTTTTAGGCTGTAGCCCTCAACTTCAGGATGGAAATGTTGAATGTCCTCTTAAAAAACCAATCAGGAGGAAGCTGTCTGTGTCTCCTGCAAACCCAGATGAGGATGGGCCCAATCCTGTGCTGTCCCATTACCCCCCTGCCATTCAAGAGGTCTTAAAACAGGAGGGCATGGTCCCGCTGCAGTACACTCCTGAAGGGCAGCCGCACACCTCCAGCAGCTTTGATCCAAACTCCACTATCGACATTGGTCACAACGAGGACCCAACAGGTGGTAATGCCACAGTCATCCTATCACCTGAGCCCCCTGGCCACACAACACTTCGGGCACTGCGAGCTAACAATGGAAATGAGCCAGCTAAAAGGTACAATTTGGTGTGAAAACAGTATAATTTGCATTGATTAATAAGTTGAACTAGGTAGTTCTGTTTTGGCTGGTGTGAATAAGTTTCTTTCCAATTGGTTTCTAGGTTGGAGATCCCATCACTATTAGACCTGCGAAAATCCAAGCCGTCCTACATGGCCATGACTTCAGCTGCTCAGGTCAAGCGCAAGTTCAACTGGTGTGTGTTTATTATGGGACCTGTTCGCTGGGGCTGTGTCAAATCATGCCTCGTTGACATTTTGCACTCTTGGTGTTTTCCAAAATCTCACTTTGTGTCTCTTTGTGTCAGTTCCAACGCTGGGAAAGAGGACAGTTCTCAGGCCGCGTCTGCAGCACCCAAGCGCATAAAGAGAGATCTCTGCGAGGCGTCTAAACCACTGCGAATCCGACATTTTGGAGGTTAGTGTGCTATTCTCAATGCGGAAAAATTACAGTTATCCTCTATGGGCTTTCCATTTGTATCTTGGAAGTGGAACATAAGCGTCTCTTATTATATTCCATTTATGAAGTCCTCACATAATCCATTATGTTTGGTAAAGTATTGTAATAGTGTAATGGGCGGGCTGGCTGACAGCTGTGAAAAAATGTCAGGCGCACAGCCAGAAGCGCACAATCTCCTCCTCCCACTCCCAGTGGCTTATGCGCGTTCTTTCTCCTTAGTAATATAATGCCACGAGTTGGCTGAATTTACCCCAGTTTCATAAAGTAATAAGCCACTAGAGGCCGTGCCTTACAGTGATTTTTGCCATGTTAGTAAGGTGTTGTTAGGCATGACTGCTTCTATTAAATTAAATAACCGCAGTAATATACGACACCGATGTCTAAAAATAATCATGCAGTCGATTGACTAAAAAAATTATAATTTGGCATGCCATTTTTTGCTGAACTATTGTTCAAAAGGCTGCATATATTTAATAACAAATGCAGAAAAACCCAAAATATTGTGGAATTATTACAACTTAAAATGGCCTATTTAGGGCCCAAGCACCAATGGTGCAAGGACCCTCTTGGAATGGCTAAATTTAATTAAAATATAATTTATTCCTGTGATACAAAGCTGAATTTTCAACAGCTATTCTTCCAGTTTTCAATGTTGCATGATCCTTCGGAAATCATTCTAAAATGCTGATTGGCGCTCAAGAAAAAATTCTTATCAATATTTTTAGGCAATCAGTTAAGATTTTCCAGATTTAAAAAAAAAAATTTTTTTTAATTATTCTAATCTTTATTCTTTATTTGTTCTCTTCCACCGCATCTAGTATCATCAGAGAATGAGCCAAGCCGTAGAGTAGTACGGAGTGTGTCTGAGGGAAACCTCCATCAGCTTGACCAGCGTAAGCCCAAGTTGAGCTCATTGAGGCCTGCTGCACTCTTTAAAAGAGTCACCAAGAGGATGTAAGAGGCTTCCACTTGCTATTAAAGCCACTGTTCTCTCATTCACTGGCCTCACATACTTCCTTCTCATTAGAGTTGATGTAGAAAAGATGTAAAAAGGTGTTTTTTTAATTGTTTTTTTATTGCAGGAGCAGGTATTTTGCCTTAATTATTTCTAGGAAACTAGATTGTTTTTATATTAATGTTTTAAAATATGTATGTGCATAGAAAACCTGTCCAGCCTAATATGAAGCTCTCAATAAAGTATTAATTGATGTTCAGGTCTTTTAAAGCAACTTGGAGTTATTATTGCCAATGAGTGACTTTTTTTCTCCCCTTTTTAAATGCTTTCATTAAAAAATCGCTCCATTTAGAGAAATGCTTTTCAGATCAACAGTTTCATGATTGATTAAAAAGAAATATCAGTTGAGAAATATCAACCTTGTGTGTTTTAATGAGCTTTAAATTATTATTTTTTATTCATTGTTCTTACATTCACAAACTTGGACAGTTCACAAATATTGCACAATATTTCAAGATTCTCAATAAACTAGTCAAATGTTTAGCCTCCTGATTACAATATAGCTCCATACAGAGAATTCCATTGAAACTTTTGTTGCTGTTGGCCTAGTAAAAAAACATCAGAACTGTAACAGTTTTAAAGGTACTTTATTTGATATTTCCGGGGCATTTACAACTAATATTACTGACATTTTGCTTCATAACTTGTTTTAATTGCAGCCACAGAGCAAAACCTATTAGTTCAGTGTAATTAACCACATTCTCTGCAGATTTTTCATGCATCTTCACCTCGTCTTGCAATGCAGTTCAGTCATCTTGTTTCTTGCTGATTTGTAGTCTCTGTAGTGTGTTCAGAGCTTATGGGTTCAGCCCACAGAGGAAAAAGGGAGTCTGGAGACTGGCGGTTTGAGCTTCATCTCGGTCCATTTCCTGCATGCCATCTGTCTGAACCAAAAGAAAATTGAGCCTCCCGTCAGGAGTGTGGCCCGTTTAATGTTCAAACTCTTTTAACATATCCAACAATACAAGGAACTTCTATAGAAGTGCTTGTAATCTTCATCAACCAGAACAGGATTCAGTGCAAATGCTTTGGTTTATCTGTGTCAGTCCTTGGTGTAAGAGTGATGAAACCACAACTGTCTGCTGTCTGTTTTTGAAAGGTATTTTTTGGTTTGCAAGACAATCGGTTGCACTGCGAATAGCTGTGCTTGTTCTAACATCATGCCTAAGGAATTAACAGTAATCAATTCTGTTAATGAGGCTATTATTAACAGATAATTATGTAACACGCCTACAGGCAGATGTACTGGACTCAAGTGCATCCAGAGCAGCACGTCCATAAAGTTCTGCCTGTTTGGGCTAGAAAAATTTATATTACATCAATGTGATCAAATGTCTCATATTGTTTGTTTTGACTAAATTAGACATTAAATTGACTTAACAAAAACTGCGCTCTACAGTACAGGCTCATTTTGAATGGACAGATAATATATTTAAACTTTTTAATCTTAACATGCTTACATAATTGGAGAATTAATTGCATAATAGTCTCTTTGCTCACTGTACGCTTTTCTCCAGTTTATCTGTGCTATAGTGTCACATTGCTTCATCATTTCTGTGGTGTTTTAGACCATTTCAATTATGAAAGGCTGATTATTCTGACATGGTGAGAAAAAAAATAGAGCAATTTTCCCCTTAAGCAAACCTTAGATATTTCATGCTTATTGTATTTGCTAAATTGTCTCATACGTTGTATGTGCGCTTGGCTGTTATGCAAAGGGGAATGAAACTACTTAATCTTATAGAATAACAGAGCAATAATGAAGCGACACCAGCAGCACCCAAACACATGAGAAAGTCATCTGGATTGAAGCTGACGGTCCTGGCAGCACCCTTCTCAACACCTGGAAAGTTAGTACAGTTATGCTTTACTGCTCTCTGGACTGTTCTCATGCATTTTGGATGTGACATAATCCAATTTAGAAATTCCTCACATAATGCAATGTTTGTTAAAATAGTCTAGTGGTGTAATGGGTGGACCACCTGACAGCTGTGAAGCAGTGTCAAGCCAAAACCACATGATCTGCTCCTCCTCCTCCCAATCTCTCTCTCTCTCTCTCTCTCTCTCTCTCTCGCGCGCACTCTATTAATGGAAGAATGAAACTTGTTTAGATTAAGCAGTTGGTCTAAATTTTCTGCCAAATCTTTACTCTTTTCTGCTCTTTAGCAACGGAGAATAAGCCAGGCCTAAAATGTGAGGAGACCACCCTCCAAGTCAGGCTACAGACAGTTGCATTACCGACAGGATTTGGGAGACGTCCAGAACTCGCCTGTAGAAGGTGATCAACTACTTTCTGTAGTCAATTCTCTTTAAAAAGCTAAACAAGTAAAAATGGTTACCTTTATTGCTATTAAATTTTTTCTCATTCACATAATGCAATGTTTGTTAAAATAGTCTAGTGGTGTAATGGGTGGACCACCTGACAGCTGTGAAGCAGTGTCAAGCCAAAACCACATGATCTGCTCCTCCTCCTCCCAATCTCTCTCTCTCTCTCTCTCTCTCTCTCTCTCTCTCGCGCACTCTATTAATGGAAGAATGAAACTTGTTTAGATTAAGCAGTTGGTCTAAATTTTCTGCCAAATCTTTACTCTTTTCTGCTCTTTAGCAACGGAGAATAAGCCAGGCCTAAAATGTGAGGAGACCACCCTCCAAGTCAGGCTACAGACAGTTGCATTACCGACAGGATTTGGGAGACGTCCAGAACTCGCCTGTAGAAGGTGATCAACTACTTTCTGTAGTCAATTCTCTTTAAAAAGCTAAACAAGTAAAAATGGTTACCTTTATTGCTATTAAATTTTTTCTCAAAGGTCCTGGGGGGGGGTCATACTGAATATTGAAATATCCCATATCTGACAGAGTTTAGAAATATCCTTTAATGTGCATTAATCTATTAATATGTAGGCTACCATACTTTAGTTGTACCAAATGTTTTACACAATTATCACATATCCATTATCTTCAGCAGTTCTGTGATCTGAAGTTGCGGCGTTACGGTCCAGTATTCTAGTAAAATAACATGCTACCATTGCCATTACAAAATGCTATTTTAATTCAAAGATGTACCTATATTTGGAGTAAAAATGTGTTGTCATTTCAAAGTAATTTTAAAGTCTCTTTGTTTGACTCATCTCATGTTAAAGGTCTCCTGAAGTGCCTTGAAACACACAGCATTATTCTATGTGGTGAAGTAATTTCAACTGAAACAGGAAAAGAGGGCGGGACATATCGAGCAGCCCCGCCCCCTTTTTAAAATAGCCAATAGCGTTTAGTTTATATCTGCTCGGGCCAGAGCCATTGAGCTCGGTAAAGCCGTATTTGACAGCCACAGTCTAATAGATTACCACCTAGAGTCAATATGAAACTCTTAGTAAAAACAAAATAGTAGTCATAATCATGCTGAGGCTGTGTAGTTGTAAAAGTTTTTAATATATGGCGACTCGTGTATCTGGACCGGACCGCAGATCTTAATTATGAACACACTGGTTTGTAGTGCAAACAGTTTTACCGTTTACTGCACGTTGTTATTCTCCTTGTTATTTACCTATAGCGGCTAATGAACCGGAAGTCTCACCCATAGGCTTACTTCCGCGTTGAAGAAAAAGGTGGATATCTTATAAATGCGCATTTTGTCACTGTTTTGGCGCACACAGCCTTATAAATAACATTAAGACTAACATATTGATACTAACACCCAAAAAACTTTCAATTTGATTTCATGGGGACTTTAACATTGGCACTACAGTGTATAAACTTCTCCAAGAAATGATTACACATTAGATACTGTATTATTATACATTATGGATAATTCATATATATATATTCTTCGATTCGCGGTTTTAAAGATTACAGGAGATTGGCTTCTCTCGTTACTAAAGATATTCAGATTGGATATTCAAGTGACGCAGCGTCGTTTGTTTCCATCCAAAATGCGACCGATAAAAGCACATGGCGACTAAATTTGCCTCCTTAACCAATTATTGTTAGTGAGTAATTCAAACCAATCACCTTTCAGCATCACATATTAGTGGTAGTCGAACCAGCTTAAGACAGCGAGTACAGAGAAACCTTTAAATTAATTCAAATGTCGGTCAAATACAAATGAATGAAGGATATCAAAACCAGACTGATCGACAGAGCCGCATATGCATTTGGAGGATGGAGTTCATCTTCAGATATGTGAGTAGAAAAGTTCATGGCCATAACTAGTCTGTATTGCGCTGCGTGATGGTATTTTGAAGTGTTTTGTTGGTGATCGGGGAAAAACATATCACGCGTCATGATCAAGACTATGTAGGCTACATGAGCATATCAGTAAAACTGCAATGGTTTATTGATTCGGTTAATATGAATTTACATATCTTCCTCGAAAAGAAATCCCTCACGGGCCTGTTTTAATATTTATTTTAATATTTTGTCTGATATACCCTGTAGCCTAGTTCATTTTTAGATGCAGTAGAAGTAGGAAATGTGCTGTAGCCTGCTATATTCCTGCAACACAGCTGAAAACAAAGTATGTAGCTTATATTATCTTTTGTATATATTATATGTATATTATATTTATGTGTATGTAGAGAGAGAGAGAGCTGTTCTTTTTTCTTGTAAAGCAACTTGTGACCATTTTTCCATTCTTACAATTGATTTAGTTAATATTAAGTATGTCTTGTTTTTGAGAGGTTTTAAGCGCCATAACAAATTATGAATAAAAATAAGGAAGTAATAAGTTTGTCTATTCTTATTTTGACCTTTTTTTTGCACCAGTGATTTGGTAACGACAACTGTTAACCAGCTAGTATTGATCACTGGTGGGACTATTGTTGAGATTTTTGAATTGCAGACTAAACAGTAATGAGATACTTAGTAATACTCCCACAGCCAAACATCACAAAAGACTGATGTTGAACACCTTATAAATGCGAATTTTGTCACTGTTTTGGCGCACACAGCCTTATAAATAACATTAAGACTAACATATTGATACTAACACCCAAAAAACTTTCAATTTGATTTCATGGGGACTTTAACATTGGCACTACAGTGTATAAACTTCTCCAAGAAATGATTACACATTAGATACTGTATTATTATACATTATGGATAATTCATATATATATATTCTTCGATTCGCGGTTTTAAAGATTACAGGAGATTGGCTTCTCTCGTTACTAAAGATATTCAGATTGGATATTCAAGTGACGCAGCGTCGTTTGTTTCCATCCAAAATGCGACCGATAAAAGCACATGGCGACTAAATTTGCCTCCTTAACCAA